GAAATGGAGCAGGCAACCTAGCAGGTTCTTTCATTCTTTGATTTTTTGGGGGAGAAAAATTCTGATTCAGGCAAACATTATTGGAATCCACATAGGATCGTTTCAGAGGTTGCCGCGATTTCATTCTTAAGAGAGTATACATATCTTGTAAAAGTTTGTAAAGCACCTGCTACAGGATACATTAAAAGGAAATTAAGACTGTTATTATGTGATTTGTCTGTACTGCTCGAATCATCTCATGTAAACATCATAGTGGCCCATAACATCCCTAAATGCTTAAGCATTCCGTATGCATGGCTAAGCATTTTTTCTTCCATGGATGCCTCCTCAGCTCCATGCAAACCTATCTTTAAGTATGACATATAAACATGGATGCCTCATCCTAGCAATGTGGGTGTTGTAGTGTATGCACAGAGCTCCCCACTACCTATTCATACACATCAATGGGTAAATCTTATTAGTCTCAACTAGAGTAGAGCCGCGGAATGAATGAGACTTGTAAAGTCAACAATTGTGTGAGACCCACTGATTTAATAGGCCTGATTTGGTTGGGGCTAACTACTAATTATTAACCCATTTAATGGGTTAATAATTAATGGATGTAAAGCTGCCTTGATATTTGTGTCTGTATCTCAGCATGCAGGAGAGTCCAGTGTGTGAGCAGATGTAATCCATATACTGTTGATATTGGTGGAAACATTCCCAATGCTTTCAGAATGTGTCAGTAATTACTGGCCACAATATCTACCTTGTGGCCCCAGTCCCATTGATTGTAGTGGGACTTGGCTAGAAATGGCTTTGTTGCCAATAAATTGTAGGTATAAACAAGCATAGCATCATTGCCCAAGCTTCACATTTTATAACTGTTGATTGGTGATGGCTATATCTGATCAGCAGGATGTCATGACAGTGCTTAGGGCCAGCAAAAGACCTCCTGCTGCCTGAGGCAAAGGCTACAATAGCACTGCCTCTCCCAGGTCCACATACACGAGTATGTAGCAGTTGAATATTACTTCAGCACTAGTGACAGGGCCACGTCCTTCAACAATAGTGGCCATGTAGAGCCTACAACTCCCCAGCACAGGCTACAGGCCTGAGGCCATTGTTTCACTATGCTAAATGGAAGGGCAGCTTCTCCAGCTTCTTTTCTGAATTAGATCAGTGTGCCTGAAGCTAAGGAGACAAGGGATCAAAGTGTACTGGGTGGGCCTCGTCTGAAATGGAGTTGCTTGATTCCAGGCAAACAGACTGTAGCTCCATGAGTATATAGATACTGACAAGTTCATAGGAGGAAAGATTTCTTCAAAGTGCACATTTTAACAATGGAATGTTATTACTAAGAAAAGGATCAAAATCTGATATAAGGCTTGCCATTTGCTCAATAAATGAATATCCATCTCCATTTCACCCTGACTCCCAAAATTTTCTCCATTTAAGTTTTGATTTTAGACCAACAAAAAAAATAACTCTTTAAGGGGGGGAAATCAGCATATTATAGGCACATATCTAGACATTTTATAGCCTTTCTTAAAAAAACAAAAAACAGAAACCAAACCCACTACTATAGTGTTGACTAAATTTTAAAAAGCTTTAACTCTTTAACAATCCACTACTTTAAATATCAACATGTGCTGTGCTTCCCTACACCACCCAACTTCCACTCAAAAAGATAAAAGAAGAAGAAAAAATTCAAAGTTTTTTTTAAAAACATTTTTTGTTAGAAAATCCAAAAAAACCAAAACAAAACCCTCTTGGCTGAGATTGTTATAGTACCACCTCCAATGGAACCGCATGAACACCCCATTTTTGCATCTTTGAATGCATTTCATATCAGAGTTGTGTTAAGTACTCTAAGCTATGGAGGGTTAGATCTCCAGGTCGTCAGGTCGAGGTCTGCTGCTGGCTCGACTGCTGGCTCGGCTGGGAGGCCTTTGGTCTACCACTGTCAGTGGTTGCAACTCATGCCCAGAGCCCATTTTTTTCGTGTTATCAGGCTCCTCCGCAAATTCAAAGTTCTGAGCATGTGAGTTGGAGATGGTGCTCCCAGCTTGTCCAATCCTGTTCTGCTCGGCGCTGTAATTTGCCCAGTTTTGCTCGCTGGCTTGCTTATTGTAGTTACGACAGGAGGAGGAATTGTTCCTGTCTCCAGTCACGAGCTTGTAGCCGGGAGGAGACATGGGTGACAAAGGGGCAGTTGGAGAGGAGCACCCATTGAAGTAGGCATATTTCGGAGAACCGCACTCCTTGGAAGGGCTCAAGCCACTGTTGGGAGAGAAAGGGTTGCTTTTGGTCTTCATGCGATCCTTTACGCTCTTGAGAGTGACGTAAAAAATTTCAATGATATTCAGGGTGAGGGAAACGATTGATACCACCAGCATGAAGATAATGAAGATGGTTTTCTCTGTGGGGCGAGAGAGGAAGCAATCCACCTTGTGTGGGCATGGCACCCGTTCGCAAGTGTAAATGGCCTGCAGGGTGAACCCATAGATGTACCACTGGATGAGCACAAAGGCCACCTCGAAGAAAGATTTGAAGATGATGCTGAGAATGTAAGTGCGGAGCAGCCCCCCACGCATTTTGACCTTGCCATGCTCTTCAATCCCATACTTGAATTTCTTGATCTCTATTTGCTTGAGGTGGAGTTCTACATTGACACCCTCATTCTGGACAAGCTTGAGCTCCTCTTCTTTTCTGTTGAGCTTCTCTTCTTTCCGCATCACATAGAACACGTGGGCCAAGTACATGAGGGTTGGCACAGAGACAAAAATGAATTGCAGAACCCAGAAGCGCACATGAGAGATTGGGAAAGACTTGTCGTAGCAGACGTTTTCGCAACCGGGCTGTTGGGTGTTGCACCGGAATGCCGACTGCTCATCTCCCCAAGCAGACTCCACTGCAGTCCCCAAGAGCAAGATGCGGAAAATGAAGAGGACAGATAGCCACACCTTCCCTCCTGCAGTCGAATAGGCTTGGACTTTGTCGAGGAGCCTTCCCAGAGCACTCCAGTCCCCCATTGTCAAGGCCTGTTACCTGCAAGATAAGAGCAACCAGAGAGAGAAAAAAGTTGAAGCATTGCTTAAAACCCCTGACTTCCAGGAGATGGTGACACCTAGCAGAAATAATACATGCCACATAAAATAAATGGTATCAGTTTGGGACCTCAATATTTGGCAGACCGTCTTCTCCCACCCAGATCTACCCGAGTCACCCGACATAGCCAGCAGGGACGGCTGAGGGGTCTGACGCCGAGGGAGGCCCGGAAGGAAAAAACGAGAAACCAGGCCTTCTCGGCGGTGGCCCCTCGGCTGTGGAACACCCTCCCTACTGAAATTCGGCTGGCACCCTCGCTGGGCATCTTCAAAAGCCAACTGAAAACTTGGCTATTCAAGCAGGCCTTCCCTGCAGTCAATTAAGTGATGCTTATTTCTTATTTCTTTCCTTTTAACTCATGCTATCTTGGGACTGTTTGCTTTAAATTAATTGTAAATTTACGATATTATTTTTATATCGTTTTTTTAAATGTAAAATAGTATATATTTTAAATCGTTTTTATCTTGCATATTGTGAGCCGCCCAGAGTAGACTATACCCTCCCAACTGAAATTCGGCTGGCACCCTCGCTGGCTCTCATTTTAGGCACTCACTGTTGGTCCCATGTTCCATATAAGAATTAAGGATGGAGATGTTTGCTACTTGGTAGCACTGTCCAACTATCTCCTCTCACATGGTGGATCAACACAGGGATGGAGCTGGGGCCTTTGGTGTGCCAAGCTTGTGCTTCATCCCCACCTTATGATCCCGAGGACGGCCTGTGAAAACTCTGAAAATGTTTCTGGATTGTAAAGTATAGAGATGACTGTAGACCTCATTGTGGGTTCCTAACATAATAACGGAATATATATGGACATCACTGTATACTGCAGATGACTCTGCTGGCTAGCTGCCCAGTGCTGTCATACATTAGTGTTCATCATTGTCAGAAAGAGGAGGGGAAATAACAGCTTTAGAGGAAGGGGCAACCTCCTCTCTCTCCCAGCCCCCTGAAAGTCTCCTCTGGAAGGTGGAAGGCCTTTCAGAATGGGGGTGGCAGATTGCACTAGATCTGCAGAGGAAGATGCAAAATCACTGCTCTGCCCATTTCCCGCAGCTGGAAACTTCAAATGGACCCAAATTTTCTCCACAAATCCGATCCTAGGCACCTAATAGCAGAATTACTTTTCCTCCAAAAAGTGAACCATGATGTTAGATTGTGGTTCTGTGTACTGGACATTATTTGTTTTCACTTCATAGAACTATTTTCTGTATATTTACATATGATATTTTTAAGAAGATAAAGTCCATGGATAGAAGCTTCTACATGTGGATCCTCCCTGCTGGATAGGAGTGTGAATGCATAGTAGATTTTCAAGCCCTAAGAGCTGAACTATAAAGTTGTGAAACTGGCTTTTGAAAAGCTTCTTTTCTCTGCATTTTTCATTTCTGAGAAAGGGCCATCCATTTATCTCTGAAGCAATAACTTCTTGATTTCATAAAAGAACTTGCTGCTGATTTTAAAACATGCCACTATCAGACTTCCTTCCAGGCTCAATGGATTTATTTACAGTATAATGTTATTTCAGATTGAAAGTGTGATTGAAAACAAAAGCAATATTATTCAAAGTAAGCTTTTAGATTATTTGTTTTTAATTACATTCCTCTCTGGTCCATTAATATGGGGAAGATATACCCCCCCATCTTATCTGTTTAATTCCATGTCAGTAATTTATCTTTCCCATTTATCAGCAATTTCAAAATCTGTTTTAGTAGGCAAAATCAAGTTATTATTTCCCTAGGCTATACTTACTGTAGAAGCAAGCGTTCCTTGCATGAATTACTCAAGAAGTTCTAAGAAACCAAAGCATTCACTTCTAGCTTTCTTAAAGGCTCCTAAGCAGAAGGTTCTAAATAAGACAACGTTTTAATGAGACGGAGTAATACTCTTGCCTTCTATGAGCAATACGTGTTGGTGTTTTGAATGATAGCATTTACACATGCTGTACTTCCAATCAACTAATAAATGAAGACTACAGTCTGATGCACACTTATTAAAACAGCTTCCATATCCCCTCCAGGTATGACGGACTATAGCTCCCCAAAGCTATTCTTACCCCTTATTTGTGCTGAGTGGGGATGATGAGAATTGGAGGGCACCAGATTGCGGAGGTCCTTGAGCTTCCCTGAATGCCATGGAGATATTTTTCAGTAGGTATACAGTTGTGCTGTATAACTTGAAAAATGATGATAGAATGCATAGTACTGATATTTTATTAGTATTCATATTATTTACACTTACATCCCACTTTCTCTCCAAAAACTTGAAAGCAGTTTGTATGGGTCTCCTCCTCTCAAATTCATGCTTATGACAACACTATCACACAGGGCAAACTGACACACTGGCTAGCCCAAGGTCATCTAGTGAGTTCCTCTTCAGCACAGGGATTTGAACTCAGATCTCACAAGTCCTAGTCCAGTACATTAACCACTATGCTACACAGGCTATTATTAGTATTATTATTTATTGTATTTATACCCCGCCTATCTAGTCATTTCGACCACTCTAGGCTATCAAGAGATCAATGGTTTTGGACTTACAGGTTCTCCTCTCAGACACACTTTGAGCAAGTGAATTTGTTTTTCCAAATCCACAGTGCCAACCCTTTCCACTTGTTTAGTTTCTCAATAGGAATGAAAGCAAATGAATATCAAACGCTGATCCCACCTAACACAAAAAGAAGACGCAACCTGCCTGGTTCTGGTAAAGAATCCAAAGGTGAGGGTGGGTGATACCTTTATTAGATGTCTAAAAAAATTCAGATATAACATTTTGATCCTGTATCTGATGTTATCTATTACAATGGCACCTACTGCTGCCGTAGGTGGATAAAATTATGGCTTGCAGTCTTGCACCATCTCCGCCTGTGGTATATCCCCACCTGTGCTCAGACGACAAGCTTCCGACCCAGTTTGACCGGTCACCTTAATGTCTTGGGTGCCCCTTGCGCAGACTGACTATGTATGTTCACAGTGCAAGACAGAGAGTAGGAGGGAGCCAGGAGTCACATTTGTTATGGAAAATGGAGGAAGGAAATAAAGCTTCATTCATGAAAATGCAGCCAAGAAAATGCACTCTATCACTGTGTGTTTGTCACATTTTTATCCCCTCATTCACCAAGAAGCTCAGGGCAGCATACCTGGCTCTTCTCGCCCTCCCCAACTTTATCCTCAGAAGAATACTGTGAGGTTGGTCTAGCTCAGAGATTTGACTGCCCCAAGATCATCAAGTAAGCAGGGATATGAACCGGCATCTCCAGAGTGCTGGCCCACCATTCAAATTCTTACACCACCCTTGCTCCATACAGTGCAATCCTATCTCCACCTGCTAGAGGATATAGGATTGAGCATGGTGGGACTTACTCGTGAGAAAATCTGAGTTGTCTTAGAGTCGAATACAGATTTACTCACGAGCAAGACCTACTGAATTTCTAAACAAACGTGGAATACAAATGGTTTTCGTGTAGCCTGTCTCGAAGTTGCTTTCAAGCAAATATGTTCCTCATAAACAGTGGTTTACGGTTAAAGTTGTTGAGGGGGATTCACTCCACAATAGTGAGCCACCCCATCTAGGAACCACAGCTTGCCAGTCTTTAAAACTCAGAGGCCAGCTGCCTCAAGCCATCCAACAATATTAGATGGTGTTGGTGTGAATCAGCAGTGTCCTATTCTGCGTGTAGAAGCTTGCAGTACTGTTCCTCCTCAGAGCACAGAAGATTGCACACAGATTTCTACTGCCTTCTGGTTTTCTGAGCAGAAACTTGCTGTGCTCCACATTTGGTGCTTGGTTGACACCCAAAAATGTGGGAAGCATCTGTGGAAAAGGCAAGGTGCCTTCCTTCTCCCTGTGTAGCAATCCTGCTCTCCATTTGCCAAGCCAGATGGGACTACCACGCAGATAGCTAGCAGCCCTAGTTTCCGGCTGTTCCCTCTCAGACATACATAGACTCACAAGGGACCAGCGCAGAGTAGAAGGATGCCAAGGAAAGAGTTGAATGTGCAGCCACTTCTTCACTTGGCTGGGGATGGAAGGTTAGCACATCCACTGGGAAACTTGCAAAAGGACATTATGCAATCTCAGAGCTTTCAAGTATTACTTTCTGGGACTACAGCCCCCAGAATCCTGTGCCAATTAGGGGATTCTCTGGCCCCAAAAAGACTTTTCCAAACGTTGTGCAGGTTATGGCTGTCCATACACCCTGTCCAATTTGTCTCTGTGTGTTCTTTCTTTAACAGCAATGGTGCACCTTTATCTGATTAGGACAGACATTATTTATTCAGCTGCCTCTGCGGTACCCTTATGCCCACAATCCTCTAAAGGATAAATAATGTCTAAGGATCAGATATACTAAAACAGTGGCTCCTTAATGTGCTTTCTGAAAAATATTGTTCATCAGACAAAGAAAATAATGACGGTATTACTTGGTTAGCATTTAGAATGACTGTATGTAGGAAAAAATTGATCTAGAAGCCACAGCGGGGAAAGTGAAATGCTTCCTGAAAGTAAGCCGGGTGGCGTACTGCTCATGTTTTCCAAGATGCCTGATGCAGTCTCAGTGTTCTCAGTGACTATACCAATGCCTGAGTGTAATGTCACATGGTTAGAGGGAAGGATTTGTCATGGTCTTGTGGGGACATGGTGTGGCGCATGTACACAAGTATGTTGCAACCAGACAAACAGTTATTTGGCTCACGTAGCCCTCCCACCCAAGCCTATGAAAAATGAGGCTTTTAAGCAGCTGTCTGCCAGCGTCTGAACATGTATCACGGTGGATGCAAGAATAATGAATGTGCAGCCTTCCCCAAGATGCTGCCTTCTAGATATATTGGGTTACAATACTGGCCACCCAAGCCAACATGCTGGCTGAGGATGATGGGAACTGTAGTTCCATACATCTGGAAGATATCAGTTCTGGGATAGCTGACACAGAGAGCCAGAACCTGAAGGCGGCGAGCTGGTTTAGGAGGTGCAGAACAAGCTTCGTGGCGCCCACTGCTCGGTTCTCCAAAAAAAAGGGAGGGGGACAAGAGGAACAGGCAGAAATGGAGAAGAGTTACTTCTTTTTTTTCCATGGCTTCTCTCAGAATACTCCACTCCAGCCAGTGGCCAGACCTACAGAACTGTGGTAAAGCCAATTTGCTGTTAATGGTTAGAGCAATAGACCTCTTTAGGAGAGCAGGATTCAAATCCCCAGTTAATTTATGAGGAACACTGAGTGTCCTTGGACTAGTCCCTATGTCCTAGCCTAACAAGAAGGTTGTTGTGAAGATAAAAGGGAAAGTGGATAACTTTGTACACCAGCCTGACCCTTGGGAGGACAAGTAGGATAAACGAGAGAGAGAGAGAGAGAGAGAGAGACAGAGACAGAGACAGAGACAGAGACAGAGACAGAGACAAGGACAGAGAGATTAAATTTGAGAGCAGCATTTATACCCAGAGAACTGGAGCAACAATCTTTGAATTGTTGGTTGTTGTGGGTTTTCCAAAAAACGCACAACAACCATCCTATCCCTGCTGTGAAAGCCTTTGAGAATGTCCTGAATTGTTGGTTGTTGTGGGTTTTCCGAAAAACGCACAACAACCATCAGATCCCTGCTGTGAAAGCCTTTGAGAATGTCTGAATTGCTCCATTGGCTGAGGGCCAGGTTTAAATGGAGAGAGTTCTACTTAAGAGTAAGGTCAACAGATTGATACACCGAACATTCAACATAGGACTCACTTGGGGAGAGTCAAATGCAAAGCAAAAAGCAGCTCTAGACAAGTTCCAGCTCTAGACGTGCACCTGATGGAGGCTACATAACAATTCACAGCAATGCCTATGGAACATAGGCTGGATAGCTTGATCTACACCTGCTTTGGATAGGATTTGTTTATTCAGAAATGATGTTCAGTTGGAAACAGCTGCAAGGAGGCTCTGGTTTTCAGCCCAAACTCAGTGTGGTGGCTGGCGGATGGAGGGCCAACAATGGAGTGTTCATTTTACTTGCTCAACATGCCATTTCATGCTATGTGTCTGTAGTCATTCTCATTCAGAAGAGGGGGGGCAGTACTTCGGGTGGCAGATCTTGAGACAGTGCCCCCCACCAGTTGCCCTACTGTTCCTACAGACGGGGAAGTTACATTTTGCGAACACGCCAGCCGACATGGCCACTGGCAATGCCAACAGGAAGAAGTCATGCAAGGAAAGTAACTTTCCCCACTTCTGACTGTTCCTCTTGTCCAACCCCTGGTTTTTGGAGAACAGAGCAGAGGATGGATGCCTCAGAGCCTCTTCTGTGCTCCCTAAACCAGTCCACTGCCCTGGAGTGCCCTCTGTGGAGGCGGCTGCCATCTCACTGCCCATTGAAGCAATATTTCAGCTGCCATTCAGGTTGCCTCAGAAGAGAGGGAGAATATTGCCTTTCACCTCAGGCAACGAAATGTCATCAGCTCACGCGATGTCATTACTGCAGAGCAGGCATAAGGTCGGGGAGTTGAGATGGCCGTTTCCTGGCTGGTTTACACAGGGAGAGGCAATTCCTTCAAGATGCCTGGAACTGAGGTGTCCAGCTGTGGATCTGATAACTTAAGGCTAATTCTACACAGAATTAGCGCTCTGTGATCCTAAAGCGCCCAGGAAGCAGCTCCATGGAACAGAGTGGGACCGAGCGCTGAGTAAACTCGTGCTTCGCACTGCCCTGCCAGCCTCACTGGATGCAGCGAGATGTATTGCGGAGCAAAATGCCTAAGGACGAGTGCTTTGTGTTATCTTCTAATCCTTCTTTCCGCAGCCCGAAATTCTCTCTAAATCCCGACATTTCGGTTCTCCCTCTGTGAAATGGGAGCATTGGCCTGCTTTCTGGCGTTTTTCTGCCAGGCTGCATGAGATACAAATTCTTGCACATCAGAAGAGCTAACCAGTTATTACCAACTACTGTACTTTCCCCCGCTTGGTAGAGAGCGCTTTTTTTCCCCCAAGAAAAAAAGTGACGTTACAACAACTGCTCTCTCTCCCCCCCCCCCCCCCCGCCGCTCTTTTGAACTCCTCTCTCTCCATCTGTATTTGAGTTAGGTATCAGGGCTCAGCCCCGGAGGTTTAACTTCAAAGATCTCTCTCCCCGCCCCCACCCCCACCCCACTCCTCACTCTCTCTCTCTCTCGTGCGCGCGCGCCTTCCCCCGGGCAAACACCGCAGTAAACAGTTTCAAAGTCTGGAGGCTTCACAAATCCAGATGTGAAGATGGCTGAAGAGAAGCCCAGGGGAAAACAAGCAGCCCCTTTTCTTCTCCCCCGCCCCCCACCACCACTCCATGCTTCCCCGGAACGCAAGCCGATTTCTGAAACCAGAGAGACGCGTTCTTCCGTTGGTTGACCTTCCTGGCTCCCAGAAAACTTTTCTGAACTTTCTTCGGCTTCGCCAGGGCGCGCCGGTGGCTTTAAGCATAACATGTTAAATAAATTTTAAACTCCCCACCCCAAAGCTTCTCTCCCCCCTCTCCCCGATTCTAAATGTAAATAATCGACGGAAGCTTTCGTTATTGTTTTGATTTTGCTCTAGCCTCGCTGACTAGACGCCCTAAGTAAATATGAAGCGGGGGTGTGCGTGTGGAATTTCAAGAGAATCTCCCAAAACTTCAACCATGAGATGCGGATTCCTTTTTCCTCTCCAAATTTAAGCGATGGTTTTCAAATCAAGAGTCCAGGAATGCAGCCCGAGGCAGACAACCACACTCGGAAAGGATTTCTTGGACGCGTTCAGAGACCGACGGCACCGCCACCGAGCACCAAACGTTTCCACAGGCAGGGCGACCCCAACGGTGAGAAACGGGTTGGCCTCGACACCGGCGCACGCCAGGAGCGCCTGGGGCGCTGAGGGCGCAGGACAATCGCTTAAAAGCCTAAACAAAAGACTGGGTTTATTATCAAGAGAAGGGTTTTGAGGGCGAGAGATCAAAGAGACCACGTGAAAGTCATCCGATTAGGACTGAACAGGAGCAGAAATTTGAACGAAGCTCCTAATTAAGGACCTCACTTGGTAGGAACTGTTAGCAGCCGTTACGATTTCCATACGAAAGCAACATGTGTGCGTGTGCGCGCGCGTGTGTAAAGCAGCACTTGGGATCAGACGGATCACCCCGTGCGTGACTTCTCCAAACCCTTTCCAAGTAACCGAGACATTAAAACACTGTTGCCATGTGCCTCGGTTAGCTTTTTCCTCAAGGTTAGACATCAGTTCCCTGTACAAAAAAGTATCACATTTTGTTATAGAGAAGGACGTTCTCTTTTGATACAGGAGATGGAGCTCCGCGGACGAACTTTTACGCACGGCGGATGCTATTTAAGCACCCAGAACAGCTGAAAAGATGATCTCTCCCGGTCTTGGTTCATTTATTTGGTAAAACAATTGGCACATTCAAAGTGTGGCAGAAAAAGGCGAGCCGTCAGCCGCAGAAAATTGTGGTTCCGACGGGACAATTTAAAAACACACACCCGTACAAACTTCGCTTTTCCCCCATCCTTACCTTGGCCAGGCGGTGGTGAAGGTGGTCAAGCAAACGCTTCAGATCCTCAGAGGGTTAAAACTCAAAACGCAACAACTCTTGGGGCAGCCAGACCTGCCTATTTAAACTTTAAAAGTCTCCTGCTCTTTTGTCTCTTGGTGTCCTTCCCTTTTCTTGAAAGAAAAGTGCTGAGACCTTTTTTTTTTTAAAGTGTGTACATATATACACACTCTCTCACACACAATCCCCTCCTTTAAAAAGCCCACCCCTTTTTTTCACTCTAACTTTTGAAGCACTGAGCTTTTAAAAAGTTTTCAAGCCACTAACTGTGAGGGAGGAGGGGAGAAAGGAGGGGTGAGGGAGCGTCAGAGGTGGGGCTGCCAAGGAATGGGGAGGAGAAAGCGCAGAGAAGACACAGAAGCAGTAGACAGGATGGGGGGAAAAACAGGAGAAGTGTGTGTGTGTGTGTGTGTTGGGGGGGGGAAGAGAAGTAAGCTGAGCACCGAAGTGGCTGAGTAAGCACATACTTAGAAAGTGGGGGGAGGCAGAATGGGGGATACATGAAAGAGACCAAAATGGGACTGCATCCAAAGCTTTCTTGCCTTAGGGAAGTGACACTGCTTAATTTACTGCGTTCAGTGCAGCTCTGAGAAGGTGCGTGGCTTTGTTCGCATCATGAGTTTACTGTGGGCCAGGGATGAGACGGAGATTATTTCACCAGCAGTCTCACTGGTCCACAGCTGTTCCTTTTGGAAAAAAAAAAAACTAACCAGAAAGAGTCACACCAGAAATCCTATCAGGCAAAAACCAAAGGAACTAAAGAAAAGGAAAGAAAAAAGAAGAAAAGAAAAAGACAAAAACAGGTGGCACCTTAAAGGCTAACCATTATATTTTAATGTAAGCTTTTGTAGGCATCTCCACTTTATCAGACAATGCAAAAACTACAACCAGAAATTGTGTGACCCTGTCTGCACATCTTCAGATGGAGCTTGACCTGGTGGAGCTTGACCATAATAATAGGAGGAGACGGTTCTTTCCTTTCCCCTTCCCAGCTGGCCTGTGTGGTCAACCCTCTTAAGATTTTGTGCCTTCTCAGCTCTTTGGGGCAAATGTTTGTTTTGGTTGGATTTCCCAGGGAACTTGATCTGGTTGCTCAATTCTCTATGCCAGTGGTTCTTAACCTTTTTGAAAGAAACGCCCCCTTGAGCCACTGAGGAAGTTATCATCGCCACCCCTGCCCACAGTGATGATATCTTACTTACTTACTACAGGCATGTGTGTGTATGTGTTGTGGGTGTAGTGGATCAAATAAACCATCCAGAAAGCTCTGGAGTCTAATGTCAAAATGACACCGTTAGTAGGCATCCTTCAGTCTCAAGAGACTATGGTAACGTGCTCTGAAGAGAGGTCTTGGAACAGCATCTAGTGTGGCTGAGAAGAAGGCCAATTTGAGAGTGACAATCCCTTCCACACTGAAGACAAATACAAGCTGTCCCCTGTCCAGCTCCCTGGTTTTGCTGGTTTCGGGACAAAATGACACCAGATAGCTACATATTGTGTAAAACCATTGAAAAGGCTGACAGACAATGGGTATGTGCATAAATAGAATTCAGCCCTGCATAAATGCAACCCATTTGACAGGCTTGAGAGTGCAGAGTAGCAGCACAGGCCCAGTTTACGTATCTCTGCGTGTTTTCAATTCCTAAAACTGCTGTTGACAAAGAAAAGAAAAAAAGCGATGACACAACTACTAATCTGAACCCTTAAGAACCTCTGCAGAGCCCTGCTGGACCAGACTCAAGATCTATCTGGGGCACCCTTCTGTCTTTTACAGTGGCCAGACAGGTACATCTTGGATGTCTGCAAACAAAACATGAGAGCAGTTATGCTTTCCTCTTGATTGTCTCTGGCATCTGAATAACAAAAGAGTCATGTGGCACCTTTAGGACTTTACTACAGCCTGAGCTTTTGTTGGCTCACAATCCACTTCTTCAAATGCATGCTTGTACTCGGTGGCACGTTAGATGCCAGAGTGGTGTCATGATTAGAGTAACAGACTGAGATTTTGGAGATCTGGCTTCTTGTCTTGAATGAACCATGCTGTGACCCAAGTATGACCTCTCTGTGTGTGTGTGTCTGCCTCCTGTCTCTCTCCACAGACCAACAACCCAGCATGTTGTTAGTCTGTGGAACTCCTTGCCACAGGATGTGGGGTTAAAGGCATCTGGCCTAGATGCCTTTAAAAGGGGCTTGGACAGATTTCGGGAGGAAAAGTCCATTGCAGGTTACAAACCATGATGGGGATGTATAATCTCCAGGCTTCAAAGGAAGGTACTTAAAAATGCCAGATGCAGGGGAGGGGGATCAGGAGACAGGGATCTAGTTGTCTCATGTGCTCCCAGAGGCATCTGGTGGGGCCCCTGTGAGATACAGGAAGCTGGACTAGATGGGCCCTTGGCCTGATCCAGCAGGGCTCTTCTTACGTTCTTATGTTCTCTCTCAGCCTGGACTCAGGAGATTTTTGTGAAACTCAAGTGGGGAAGACAAATACATATGCCACCTTCAGATTACTGGAGGAAGGACAGAGTACACATGTGAAATTGAACTTCCACCTGTGAAGCAGCAAGCCAGTACATGCCTTTTTGGAAGTAATTATCATTGAACTCAGCAGAGCTTACTTCTGAACAGACTTAACTAGGCTACTGAAATTGTATAAACTAAAGTTCAGGCCTCAGTTCCATTAAAAAGGCCAGTTTCTACATTCAGCTTATAACGAAAGTGTAAGTTTAAGATATTGTATATTTAGTCTGCAAGTCATAGTCTTTTAACATTCTGAGAGGGCTCTAAACCTCTAAAAGTGTCTGCAGAAATTTTCTAGGGAAGGGTAGGAACATTGTATTTTGGTATGCAAGCATAATCTGTGGAAATAGCATGCATCAATGAAACATGGTGTGCCCATCTGTGTACATAAAAATGAGAAACAAATTTAGGATCTTAGGGGTTAGGGATACAGACCTGTTTGCATACAATTCAATCCCTTTTAATCATGAGTCCTTGTCCTGATAAAAATCATTCAAGGAGACACAAGGTGGTGGACATGCATACAAACAGCTCCCACCATCCTTTTGAATGATTTTGCCAGTAGGCTTTCAGAGCCTTTTGAACTCATCTACATTTCCTCAAGAGACTGAACAGAAAGTGGTTTTGTGCTTCTTGCCGTGGTCCATAAGAGTGAGGAGACGCAAATGCTGGTTCCTTCAATCCCCTAGCCCTTTGTGTGTGTGTGTGCGTGCGTGCACGAGCGTACAAACACACACACACAAACAAAATATTCTATTGCCAGCTGTGGCAGGAAAAATCAGTCTGTGCTCTTGTTATAGCAGGCAAGAGACGGCAGCCAAACCTGAAACATATGTTTGCAAATATTCAGAAGCTGGCAACATTTCTAGTTTCGTGATTCCAAATTTGAATTTGAGCACTGAATGTGAACCCTCATCTCAAGATTTTAAATCTGAGAGCTTTCTTGGCATCTCCTCGATATTCTAAGTTAGATATTTAAAATCTGAAAATTGACATATGTTACATGTCAAATATCAAAACCTAAAATAAACGATGGCATTATAGAAAATATTATCAGACCTGACATAGAAACACTACATGAATTCTTGGGGCTAAATCTAATCTTATTCCCAGCTACATTAGAGTCATTGAAATGTATTAACTCCCATTGATTGAGTGGGTCTATCTGGTTTTAGCCCTTGACCAATTAATGTGTAAAGGCATTCATCCTCAGAATGTGCAGAAAAGAATTCTTAGTAGATATTATAGGAAAAAATTTACTCCAGTACTAATTGTAGCTCTTAGGTTTTTTTGTTTTTTGTTTTTGGTGGAGGGCAGGACAAAACATGAAGACAGACTTTCTTATTCATTGCTTGGAAAAAAGCACACATTCCTTTTATTCTGATCCCCTCTTAGACCTGAGCCAATCCCTTGCAAGCACATTCAGAACAATTTCCTGCTCAGAAAAAAAAATGCTTCGGCACAATCTTGTTGCGACTGGATTTCTTTAGACCAAGCTGTAGATCATGACACAAATGTCTGGAATAGTTTCCCAAAGCTCTCCTCTCTGTTGTGACACACTTTGGGGGGGGACATGGACATATTTAGCAGTAGTGTGTGTTGGAATTATTTAATCCTTCCCTGATGTCCTTTTTTCATCCTGAATCTCTATCATGCTGCTCTTCCAATAAGATGTTCTAAACTATAACCATGCTGGCTGGGGAATCCTGGGAAAGGTGTCCAGAAAAAAAGCAACTTTTCAGAATCCAACAATGTCAAGATTAAAAGAATATGAATTGTGTTCTGGGGGGACAGGAGGGAAAGAGCAACCACTTGCTGAGTGCATGCTCCAGCTTTCAGAGGTTCTCAGGCAAGATGACCTCAGAGTCCTCCCTTCAGTGAACAGAGCCCTTCACTTGCCCTCATGTTCTCTCAATCCATACACACGCCAAATGGAAAGAATGAAACAAAGCTGCTGTTCCATCTTTTCCCTCCTGACACTGTTAGCTGACTTGGCAATGGCAGCAAGAAGGAGCAGAAGACAGGACAGGGTCTCCAAGTGTTGGCAGTTGACTCTTTTCTGCCTATAAGTCTCAGCACAGACTTGAAGATGCCAACTTTCTGATGCTGACTTTGTACTTATTCTTTCACCCATTTCTTGCCCACTCCATAGTGCTGCTTCATTTCAGTACTTTGTAAAGGGACAGCTGACAATTCTTTTTACACACACATGACGTGTAAAATGTAGTTTGGCCTCCAGCCAGGTCCCTTCAGCAATTATATGAAGGCCAACCACCACATGATGCAACAAATTTGAGATGGGATCTTTTGATGTTTTGATAAAAGCAGCTATGTCCTGCTCCACAGTAGCCCAGAAACGTAAGAAACACTAGGAGAGGAGGTGTTTTCCAGTGTACCATTTTCCTAATTTAAATAGTCCATTTGGTGTACCATTTTTATATGACATGGCTAACAGTTATGCCACAAGTTGATTTAGACCAGGAACACAGCACAAGGAGAATGGGTTAAACCAGCCATTCTCATATGGGCCCCCTGGGAGGCCCTTGGCACATTTGAAGGGGGTCACAGATTGGAAACAATTCTTCAATTTATACAATCCTGATTTGGATTATAATTATTTCCTATTGTGTTCATGGTCGTGGACAAAAAAAAATGGTTGAGGATGTTAACAACTCTTTCCTGGGCACCATTATTCCGATCCAATTTGGAGTCACCCCCATCTTTG